TTGCGACAGCAGATGTCAACGATGAATACCTCGAGGAAATCATTGAACTTCAGCAGAGCCAGCTTCAACAGCAACTCTTCAGAACAACAACGCTCAACGTTTTGGTGTGACCAAATCGTACCATACCCTCTTATTGCTAAGAAAGCCCTTGAGATACTCACACCGTTTGTTCCAACGTATCGCGAGCAATCTTTTTCGAGGATGGTAGACATAAAAACTAAGAAAAGGAACAGACTTTGTTGCGAAAATGATATGAGAGTGGCACTTGCCAAGGGTGAAGCCGCGCATTTCTGAACTTGTATCTGAAAGGCAACAGCAAAAGTCACATTGATTTGCAGTAAATATTCATTGAGTTATGTTTTTGCGTGAAATTCATGTTTTGTTGGTTTTGTTCTTTGAACACAATGATTTTGTGTGCAACTGTTGCATGGTTCATTTTGTGCACTAATACAATATATACCTATGTTCTGAAGAAATCATATTTTATTTTTCCAATTACGAAGGTTTTGGTGAATGCACTGATGAAGCTTGCAGGGTTCAGTACCTCCAATAAAGTCACGTTGAAGGGAAACAATCAAATAATAAAATATATATAAAACAATAAAAATTCTCACGTTTCGACCATAACACAAACAGTCGTCATCAGGTGTGTCGGTTTACATTAATTTATTTATTTGTAAACGGTGTATTTATTTATTTATAAAAAAAAACGTCAGCGCCACGCGCAGCGATTTGACAGTTTATTTCGAAGGACTAGTCCATCTATGTTCTGAAAAGAGGAGGGGGGAGACGAAAAATTAATGTATGCTGTCTGAAAGCCACCGTAAGCGTGAACCATCAATTAAGACCTGGAATGGTTAATCAAATCTTTCCAATGATTGCTAAGCCAGAATCCATCTTCTCGGTTGAAATTGTCTCTGTGCTTGTATATTTGGATAGCCTCATGAACGATGCAAACCGACACACCTGATGACGAACGTTTGTGTTATGGTCGAAACGTGAGAATTTTTATTGTTTTATATATATTTTATTATTTTATTGTTTCCCTTCAACGTGACTTTACCGAAAGAGCTAAGAATATGAATTACTGCAGTCACGAAAGCTTTAAATCTAAATTTTACCTCCAATAAGGTTAAGAACCACTGCCCTAGGCGGTGTCTGCCAGCCGCTAGCTACGTCAGTCAGAGAGAGGGCGCTGGTGCGGGGGGGCCGGTCACCCGGTCGGGGGTGGAGGGGGCAGACGTCGCGCCCCACCCGCTCTCGGGGAGCGTGGAGGGGGAGATCAGCCCCCACAAATGCAATGCAAACACAAGAGAGTCGGCTAACACAACAGTTAACACATTACCTGCTTCATTACGGTTCTTCCAAAGATTGCTACATTTGAAGTTACGTCTGAGAAAATGGGTTCTAAAGCTGTGCAGCTTATCGGTCACACATCGAGGTGGTTGTTAACTACAGTGGCTGTTGTTGTTGTTGTTCCCCTGGGTGTGTGTGTGTGCGACTGTGTGTGCAACGTTGGGGGTCTTACGCGTCGCTCGCTCCAGCTTCCGCCTCCTTGCTGGCACGCAGCCCACGGACGCGTGCTTCCTCGCGGCATCCACGTACGCGCGGTGGGGGGGGGGTGTCCCGGGGTTCAAATGAAATCTTAACCACGAAATGTTTTTGAAATCCAACTCTATGGACGTCTATATGTTTTGATAATTGTATCGCACAAATTTAAAAGAGTAAAGTGATGATCGCGTGTTTTATATATATATATTTTTTTTTTTATATTGGAAATTAATACGCCTCTGAATTTAAAAACATTAAAGAGGACGATCATTTAATAACCAAAGCATTCGTAATAAACAAGAGCATTTCGTTTTTCAGGGGCAGCAGCAGAGATGGCGCCGTGGCCCACGTTCACGGAGTGATGCCATCTCAGCTGTGCCAGGGCGTCGGTGGGCAGCATGCAACGGTAAAGTCACGTAAAATAAATTCACGACGTTTCGGCCACAACACAAGATGAAGGCCACTTGTGTTGTGGCCGAAACGTCGTGAATTTTTTTGTTTTTTTTACGTGACTACCGAATAGAACCAAAGAGTATGGATCCTTGCAGTCACGAAAGCTTTAAATCTAGAACAGAGTATGTGAACAGTTGTGCACCTCGGGCTATACAACGCTTGTCGCTGCTTGTTACTTGTGGGGGCATTCATCCCACAGGCTCTGCCCTCCCGGTCCAAAAGCGCACAATCTCCATTGATCCCTGCCATAGCTACATTGCTATGGCAGGGACCAACACACACATCGATGACGAAACAGAAATGTGCTCGAGACTTTTTTTTTTAAATACAAATCTTTATTATAAATTACAAGGCACAGGTTCACAGCAGAAAATTATTCAACAATCGTTCAAATGAAATGGGGATACCGATGGTAGTTGGGGAGACGCGTGCGTCCGCTGTGTCAAACACGGCACAGAGATGAACGCCGTTGTTCGACCAGACTCAGTTCTATTGTGGAAAGGACAGTGCTGCTGCTGCTGGTAGTAGAGGGAATGGCACAGAGGAACAACACAATTCCACAACAACATCACGTGGCGCTAACCAAGCCTACCTCGTGAAACAGCTCGGCTCCTGCAAGCTGCCTTCCCCCACTTCCTCTCTCTCTCTCTCCACAATCCCGCACCTCCTTTATTCTAACTCCTCCACCTGCAGCCTGAAAACCAACCCACGCTGGCAACAACCGGGCAGAGTCGGGGGGGGGACTGATTGTCGATAAGCAGGTGAAGTTACGTTCCGAAAACATTTCTCTCACGCCCAAGTTTGATGGACGGGTGGCCGTGATTTAAGGAGCATCGCTGCCTACCGGGCAACGCAGTGGTGGCCTGTAGGAAAGGAACCGTGCAGCCAGCAGGTGTGCCGCAGGCGTGCAGCAGCCTGTATTGCAGCCGAGCACTCTCCAACAAGCTGGTCGCTGGAGATCGCTCGCCACAACCTCGAGCCGTGAAGACGCGGCGGGGAGCGGCTTGAGCGGAGTCCAGTCAACACAATCTCCACACGCCAAGCTGTGCCGGCATGGCGACGACTGGGGGCGTGGAGTGCGGTCTCAAGAGACCGCACTCCACGCCCCCAGTCGTCGCCATGGTCTCAAGAGACCGCACCGGCAGCAACGCGGACGACAAAAAACAGAACCGCAAGTGTGACGCAACGCGGCATCTTCTCAGTACGGTTCCAGGGAGATCGATCAGCATAGCGAATGCCACTTAATCCGTACCGTTCGCAAGTATTTTTCAAGACCACACGTCCGCTACATCGGGCACTCCCGCACAACACGCTCGAGGCCCTTGCCGAGCCCGTGGGTCTACACACCGCACACCTCACGAACCACCGAGCTCGCAAGCGCGGCCACGGCGCCCTCTCCGCTTTCACGTCCACGCCGTCCGCTCGCTCGCAGCGGGCCGGCGGGGGTCACCCGCCGGCCACAATCGCCCGGAACGCGCCCCGGAGTCTCGTAAGATCGCGGAGGCTGCGCTGGGCCGAGCCACGTGGTTAGCGCTGGATTAGAGACCGCCGGCGCACGCAGGAGCCTGGCACAGAAATGGCCTGGGTCCAAAAGATTTGGGGTCGGCCAGGTCCGCCTGTGGAGAGAATCCGTGCGAAGCTACGAGTGCTATCTCGCTTGTGTGTGCGTGGGTTTGTCTGTCGGTCCACCGGCTTCCTGCCGGATGGATCTGACCAAACGTCGAAACCGAGCCGAGTTTCTCAACTCCAGTCCTTGAGACACCCAGCCCGCAGCCCGCCTGTTCGTGATCACCAATCCGTTCTAGTCACATGCAAATAAAGCCACTGCACACATCTGATTATTGGTAACGACAGAAAGCTGCTCTGGGGGGAGGGGGTCACGATGACCCTCCCGAAAGAGTCTGGAGACTCAGCGAGGCTTTCCTGGGTAAAGAAAGGTGGCCTTTTGAAACGCCTTTCAGGATACGAGCACCCGAATGAGCCTGTGTATCACTGTGCACTCTCCATGCGCGGTTTAGCTTCGGCTCGCGGGACAATCGAGATGGAAGACGCAACATGCAGACGAGACCAACACAAGAGTGAATTCTTACATCGAAATTCGATCGCAAATTGAGAAAATGTAATCGCGCGAGGAAGGAGACCTTAACATTCCTTTTACACAGCAAGTGGAATGTTTGTTTAGAAACAAATGAAGCTGAATGTAAGCAATGGCAGAAGCTGCAATAGCGCAGCATATCAGCAGCATATACTGCGGATTACTGGCAATAAATCGCCCGTGGAGAAAGCGATTAATTGCGTCTATCATTTGAGTGAAGAAATATATTTCATCGACGTGTCGCTCCGTCGTTCCAACTTCAGAGCATGGTCAGCAGCAAAGCGAAACGGGAGGGGGTAAAGCCGTGTGAACGCCGTGGAAGCAACATCCCGGCAGATGCGAGACACGCCACGGAGATGGAGACAGGTCTCAGCAGTGGCCACCGAAGCAGCGGGGGGAAACAGACGACACGAGTCGCGAAGCCTCCTCCCGCCCAGTGGCGCGCCCACCGCCTGGGGTAGGGCGTCCAGGTCCGGCTGCTCCCAGCGAGCGACCTCCACCCCACGAGGCCTGGGTTCGCACCGACCCGGGGCGCAGACGCCACGGGCGACATCGCCGCCACCGCACTCGGTCTGAATGTGACGTGGCGCCCCGGGCACACGAAAAAAATCCGCACCGCGGCACTGTAACAACCCCGTCCCAGAGTCTCGCGATCCATACGAGCGCCACGCGCCGCAGTCTCTCTTTACGGTGCATTCGTAAAGTTGCGTAAAAACGACGACGTGCAGCGCCCCCCTCGAAGGCTTCACACCGGAGCCGCCCGCTCCCCCGGATCGCCCCCCCCCCCCGTCCTAGACCGGGCCGTGCCGGGCTCCCGTCCGCATTCTCCTCGGCCGCCGCGCGGACCCCGACCGAGCCACCGCCTGCATCAACGAGGAACGCACCCCAAGAGGAGGCACCGGATTTGAAATGTTTTTTTTTTATTTTGAAACGTACTGTGCTAGCGTGTAACGCCAATGCTACACAAGCCACTTTTGTGAAATAGAACTCGTATCGATACAGACTTTCATCTCATGGACTTCAAAATAGAACATATTTGTATTTACATAAAAACACGTTATTATTTAAAATAGTCTTTCCGTACGAATCTTAAGAGTGCTGGACAATTGTGCTGATCAGGCAGATTAAACCGGAATTAAAATACACGACGTCATCGCCGTCGTTAGTATCTGCGTCTTTGAACGGTTTCCAATTTTTTTTTAAGATTATTTAGGAATCCAATCACGACCCCAATCACCCAAGTCCACATTGTGGAGTGTAAACTTCTCACCAGGCCCGTTCGACAAAAACCTCCAAGAACAATTTGCGCGAATGCTTCGCTGCATCTCCACGACCGCACAGGAGTCACCGACACCAGGAAACCAGACCCGGAGATGGAGGCGAGACGGTGATCTGGCGAATTCAGCAGCGTCACCCGCAGTGCCGTGGCGAAGCACGTTCGGCAGACGAGGCCACGACGCTCCGTGCTATCTGCACCGCGGGCGCCGCAGTGGCACTCGTGGTTCGCGTTCGAGCCACGGACCGCTGCGGCCTCTAGGCCCCCCACCCCCAACCTCGAATCGGTATCAAGCGACCGCTGCATATGCGGTCAAACGGCCTGAGCACCCCCCCCCCCCCGCCCCCACCGCTTGTCGAGCACGCAGAGGAACTCAGTGGTAGAAATACCACATTCCTATGGCAGGGGCGGGCGAAGTCAAGGACATCCGCGGTTGACTTCCCACAACCGGTTCTCGCGTTTGTCGATCCTGAAGGGTACGACGGCTGAGCGGAGCCTCGAGCGGGATTCGAGCTCTCGAGCTCTCGCGACGAGAGGTCACGCGCCGCGGCACCCGCACCGCGCGGCCGGGAGGTTACGGAGCGACCCGAGAAGCGTCGGCGTGCGACGTCGCAGACGCACGCACGGGAGGCTTCACCATGCAGAATGACGCACGGTGAACCGTGGGGGAACGCTGCCCGACCGCCGGGGCATGTACGTAGGTTGAACTTCTTTCACACCGCACGCAGGCAACCGTGTTAAATCGGAGGTGTGGGGGGGAAGGACAAAAAAAAAACCGAAACAAAAAAGCAGTTATAAAAGAAATGTGATTTCAATCTAGATTTAAAGTGCATAGCTCCAGTGGCTTTCTAATGTGGGAAGGAAGAGCGTTCCAGACGGCCGCAGAAGCGCATCTGAAAGCGCACGATGATGCGGTGACCATATTTGTTTGATGGCTAGCCAAAAGATGCTGCAAGTTCGCGTGATGGTTCATGCTCCTTGACGAGATCAGCAAGGTACTGTGGTTCATTGGTGACGAGCACTTTGTGTGTCATGAGTGCGACCTTGTAAATGTCTTTGTTCGGCAACCGGAAGCCAATGCAGCTCGGCGAGCACCGGATGGACATTGTGAGATCTCGCAGTACCCATCACGACACGTGCCTAATAATTTTGTACACGCTGCAGCTTGCTAAAGTTTTTGCCAGACGTCCCGTAGAGTAGCGAGTTGCAGTAATCGAGCCTCGTCGATACTATGCTACATTCCACCGTATTGGCTATGTCACGCACGACTCGATCGTGGTCGAATGTGTCATCGAGCTTTGATATTACAATAACAGGACCTTACCATATTTTGCACATGGTGACCAAAAGACACAGTCATACCTCGGTATACGACCGCTTTGGAATACGTCGAATTTGGTATACGTCGTGTTTGGACGAGAAAAAAAAATTGTCTAGGGGTACGACGCGCTTGCTAGAACTTGTATGGGTCGGGGGATGAATCACCGTGTCCCCGCGTATACCCCGTTCACGACTGAAACAAAGCGCCGCTCCTCAATCTGCCTGTAGATCCCGTTCAGTGCACAACCCTTGCTGTAACTCTGTGAATTTTCACAGTCTATAGTACACACAAAAAGACAGAAAAGAGAAAGATGAAAAAAACCCAGAATTTCAGCTTCCTGAAGTTTTAATGGAAGGGGACTCTCCTTCCAAAAAACATCTCCTCCTCCCCTTCCTCACCACCATCAACTCCTCTCCGCAAGGTAAAGTGATGTTTAAACTTCATTTTTATTTCAATTAATTTATGTATTTATTTTAATTTATTTTAATTTATGTATGCATTTTAGTAATAAGTAGTGTCTCAATTATTGTATACAACCACATTAATGTATAATAGGCCATGTAAAATATAATTTCTTATTACTCTGGAACGGATTATTTATTTTCCCTTTATTTCTTATGGGAAAAATTAGTTTGGTGTATACGTCATCTTCGGTATAAGTCCTCCCTTCTGGAACGGATTAACGACGTATACCGAGGTACCACTGTATTCAGGTTGAGTATGGTGCTCTTTAGGAGGAGCAGAAAACCGAATCCTGGAGTTTGCAACTGCCCCTCTGGGTCCTCCCACACAATATTGAGTGCCAACCAGCAGAACCTCCCAGAGGCCCCAACTCAACTGTGCTCCCCCGTCTGTAAATAAAGACGACCAGGCTGCTAACCCACCCCTCACCTATGCACCTGCTTGATCACATACCCAGCTACCTACCCCACCCAGCGCGCAGAAGTCGACTTTTTGTCCCTTCCCGCCAGGCGACGACATGAACTTTGTTCGAGGGATTCTCAGCGATCGTGGTTTCCCATCGCGCACGGATGCTCGTGGAAGACTAAGCGGAAATATTTTAAAATCTATTTAAAATAAAATTAATTAATTTGAGATGTCCGTCATAATACATACAAGCACGCAAATACATCGCTCACCCAGCCCACAATGCGCATTCTACAATGACAATCGTTTCTCATCTTTACCCAGGGAAACCCATACACGCCTCCAGGAAATGTGTTCCAGGCTCATAGCGTTGGGGCGAGTCATTTGTCAAGACCGGAGAAACGCAATAAGTGATACACGCAATAAGTGATACACGCAATAAGTGATCCAAACTCTGATGCAGAGACTGCGGCGCAGCCGCTCGGTCCACACGCGCACAACGCACTGCCCGTGCCACCAACCCAACCGACCACGCGCGCTCCCGGTAAAACTCGTCACGTGACACGCAGGCGATTGCCCTCGAGGATTTTTGGTGCCCTGGGAGGCATTTTGGCTAAAGCTGTCATTCTAACCCGTCGCTCTGTGTCATCATCGACGCCAATCACCAACAGCGATGACGATGACGACGACGCTTGTGTAATTTGCCGCTTAAACGTTCACACCGCGCTTTACGAGAAGCTCACTTCAAGGCGTGCTGAGGAGACCCCATCAACAAAGGGTGCTGCAGGGTGGACCACTGACGGTGGATATGGTTACCATGGCAACCATCTCGCAACAACCATGCAGCAGCAAGTCACCAACCCCGTGTGAACAGAATCCACCTTGGTGATGGTTTAACTACAGTAACTTTTTCTAAAGACAACCAACTCAAAACACACAAGTTTTTTTAAGCCTCCTTTCCGAGACAACTTTTTTTTTTAAATATGTACTTATCTGTATATATATATAAAAAACATGTTTCCCTTCCTCTGAATCACCGCAGCTCGGACAACAATCAAGACGCAACCAAATCAATTGCACATGAATCACGGCGTTAAATCTCAAGTGACGTGCGGATAACAAATCCGCCTGCATATATCCAGACGTTTGTTCCTCTACGCGTTGATCTTCCTGCGACTCCACGACCCTCCCGGCACGGGACACGGCCCCCGCCTCGCGGGACGAGGCATCCGGGAGCGGCGCCGCACGGTCGACGAGGGGTACCTCTCTCCTCCTCCTCCTCCTCGTCGTCCTCGTCTCCCGAGGAGGGCGTCGCGAGGGTCGAGGGGGCGGTGCGCCCGCCTCTCCTCGGTCGCGCGTGCGTCACATCTTTGTATTCTCCACGACCTGCGGAGGGGACGACGCACAGGGCACCGAGGTAAAAGGGACGGATTCGCCACGGCGGGGAGATGTCGTCGCGTCGCCTGCAGTCGGCGAGCGGCTCGGCGCGGTTCCCCAGCGGGCGCCGCGTGACCGCTTCTGGCAGCGCTGCTGTGGACCGACGTCGCACGAGAGCCAAGCAAAGCCTCGCAGTGTGCTTGGGCTTTACGCTGAAATTAATCAAACAGGAATTCACCAAGACCACCGCCACCATTGATCCGGTCGTTTTCGTTTTAAATCAACAACACCATTACAATAATCGCCGCACGTTCCTTAACCCCGTGTAAAACACTCTTAATTGTGACCATCATTGCCATCACTCCACCAATCACCACCCGTCCACCTTGATCGCTCAAAATCACCACCACCAACAGTACCACCACCACCACCACGCCCGTACAGAGCACCGCAGATTGGTTTTAATGCCACCGCACGCAAGCAGAGTCTACGAAGACGACCAACCTAAGCGTCTCATTGCTCCTCCACGTCTGCGGAATCCTCGGGCGGCAGCCTCAGCCCTCGCCAGGGCGAGCCGACCCTTGGAGACAAGCCCTGGGGTTTGCGGCCAGGGGATCAATGACGCCAGGTTTAAAGAGGGCAGCGCGATCGCGTGCCGGCTTCACGTTCCCACGCAGCCGCGGCTCGGCCGCCGGGGGAGCGAGCGCAGGGACCTGACGGCGCGCCGTCGGGTCAACTACCCGACGGGGAATCGCACCGCTGATTGGCTGACTCGGACACGGACTTCGAGTTAAACCTGTCGTAGTCTTAACTATAATAATTATAATTACGACATTGACAAAACGTGCAGAGTTTCTAATAATTGCCTCGGGAAATCCGAATTTCCCTCGGCAGTTCTAACCCAGTGAAAATAATTCCATATTGTTATGGTGGGGCCCAGTCCATCCTATTGTTGTCCTTCTCCTGCACCTCCAATTAGCACAGCTACGTACAGTGTGAAACAATTTCAACATATATAGAAGGTGGCTCTTGCAAATGACAAATCCTCGCCTCTGAAGTTCTCGCTGAAACACAAACTGAAACTTTAAAAATAGACAAACATTGTGTTCATGAAGGCCTCCTGAACCCAGAACCAGGCTCCCGGTGAAGGCCTCCTGAACCCGGACCCAGGCTCCCAGTGAAGGCCTCCTGAACCCGGACTCAGGCTTCCAGTGAAGGCCTCCTGAACCCGGACCCAGGCTCCCAGTGAAGGCCTCCTGAACCCGGACCCAGGCTCCCAATGTAGGCCTCCTGAACCCAGACCCAGGCTCCCAGTGAAGGCCTCCTTAACCCGGACCCAGGCTCCCAATGTAGGCCTCCTGAACCCGGACCCAGGCTCCCAGTGAAGGCCTCCTGAACCCGGACCCAGGCTCCCAGTGAAGGCCTCCTGAACCCAGACCCAGGCTTCCAGTGAAGGCCTCCTGAACCCGGACCCAGGCTCCCAGTGAATGCCTCCTGAACCCGGACCCAGGCTCCCAGTGAAGGCCTCCTGAACCCGGACCCAGACTCCCAGCCATGGCCACTCGGTGCCCTGGCACAACCATTATGAACCCCTTGAGGCAAGGAGCATTCCAAGGTGAATTGAGGGCCCGAGTTTACACAACGGACTTGCGTTCACGCATTAACACGAGCCACATCCGCAGTGTGGATAGAGTTGCTGCTTGTGCGTCTGCTGATGGTATTTTTTAAAGTATCTATTTCCTATACCCACTACGAGCGAGCGAAGCGATGGGGGAGAAGAGTAGACTCACCATCGGCGCGGGGCTCCTGGGCTCTGGGTAGCACCCTCCGTTCTCCACGTGATGCGCGTGTTTGTCCTCCTGGAGGCAACATCGTCCGTCCGTTACCAGAACCTCACTCGCGGTGTTGCGCGTAGCGCTGTTGAGTGCTGTGTGTGTACGTATGTAGAACGTCTTTCATACTCTGCATAGCCAACCGTGTTAAATAGGAGGGTACGGGGGAAGGACAACAAACTGGCGTGCTGGCTGTGCGGTGTGCCATCGGTGCTGGCTGTGCGGTGTGCCGTCGGTGCTGGCGTGCGCCCACCCTTCCGTCGGCCGTGTGGTTGTGCGCGCCAGGCGGTGTGGTGAGCGCCGGTCTGCTGTGCAGCGCGTCTTGGCGCTGGCAGTGGGCCACCGCGTCGGGGACGCTCAGGAAGAGCTGCGCTTTGCTGGAGGGCCCGCTCAGGAAGCCGGTTCGCTCCAGCTGGGTCACCACCACCGCTGGCGGCACACAAAAACAAAGATCCCCGTGTCCAAGTGCTGTCGGTGAGGAGCACCTAGGAAGGCCGGGACGGCGCACGAGGGGGTGGTGTGGCCCGGTACCATGCCCGGCTGGCCAGGTGCTCTTTAAAGGCAAAGTTGAGCTACGGGATGTCCAGGAATTGTTCTGATAGCGTTTGCCACTGATGTTAGCCGTGGCCAGCAGTCAAACCCAAGTGACCATTTTTCGTGCGCTAAACACTGGGCCAACGCTCCCCGGACAGATAGACTCACGTGTTGACCACCAAATCTAGCAAAAGGTTGGGTGTGAGTATGTGCGTGTATTTGGGAGTGGGTGCGTAAGTTGTGCGAGTGTGTGCGTGTATGAACGAGGGTGGTGAGGTGTGTGCGCGAGGTTTGGTCCCGAGTATTCCTCCTTAACTTCAAGGTGAACCGAAACAACAACGGGCGCGTCACACGTGCGCACTTCATCCGTTTGGTCGTGTCGAGTGGTGGAGGGCCAGATCATCGCGTGGCCCAACCCAAAACTCGACCACGACTCGTAGCTCTGCACGCTGCCCGAACCAAGCATTGTATGTCCCCAGGCGTGCGCCCCCACTGGCAGTAACCGTTCAGAGGTGCGCCGAGTGAACCGTGTGAGCGTGCGAGGGAGCAGACGCGTGACGTACCTCTACAACCAGCCAGGCACACTTGCACTCCCACCTCCTTGTGCTCTTGGAATATCTGCAAGGGAAAGAGCAAGCACCGTATCGTCATCAAGCTATCGTACGGGTTGGTGGAGCGCATCAAATGTTGGGAAACTCCTTTCCGGTGGGCGTCATGGAAGAGCAGTACCCTGGCTCGCCAGGAGAAGGCGGTACGGCAACATGCGGACTAAAATCCCCTCCGTACGGGATAGAGCGTTGCCCCCTCGCGCGCGTAGGTTCTCGCCGGTTGCTCCCGTTTCCTCCCACACATATTAAAACTTCAAAACACGTTCCTACATAGAGAACGGCAGAGCTTGGGCAATTGTTGTTAGCACCGGCTCACCGCCTGGTTGCTGCCTTCCCGTTCTTCTGTGGTTCCTCAGCCTTTGTGAGTTGTAATTTTCATCAACGCCTGGGCAAATATAAAACTAAAAACCAGTATTTTTTAATTATGCAAATCAGATTACGCACCGAAACATTCGCGTTTCTTGCCGTTGGTCGGGAGCCAAGACGTTTAGGTCAATTAAAAAATTATCAAGGAAAAAGAGGCGACCCAAACCACTAAGAGCAAGTAATTAAGAGGTACACGCCCGAGCCGTACGGCGTCACGGAATGTGGGCATTGAACAAGCTTGCACATGCTCGCTCTCGCACACGCAACGACCACACAAAGATCCCCTGTATAACCTATCATAGACTGTTGGGGAAAGTGCTGATAGCGAGCAATGCTTATGAAGGCCGGAACGGTACGTGTTGGGGTGGGTGGCCAGCACCATGCCCGATCACACACACACACACGCTCACACACACACGCTCACTCACTCTCACACACACACACACTCACTCACTCTCACACACACACGCACACGCTCACTCACACACTCACTCACTCACACACACACACGCACGCTCACTCACTCACTCACACACACGGCCCGATGTGCGTACCCTCTTGAGCATCTTGACCCCGGGCGTGTCCACGAAGGTCACGGCGCCAAAGTCGAGCACGAGGAAGCGGTACGCGGGACTGGTGAGGCCCTGCTCCTCGCTCTCCTCCAGCGGAAGCACCACGTGCCCCGCCTCGGCGCCGTCCTGGCACGCACGGCCGGCACAACGCCCTGGGCTCAGAGCAGCGCACTCGCCGCGTCACAGCCTCACCACAGCCTCGGCCCGCGTCACAGCCTCACGACAGCCTCGGCCCGCGTCACAGCCTCACCCCGCGTCAGCCTCACCACAGCCTCACCACGCGTCACAGCCTCACCACAGCCTCACCACAGCATCACCCCGCGTCACAGCCTCACCACAGCCTCACCACGCGTCACAGCCTCGGCCCGCGTCACAGCCTCGGCCCGCGTCACAGCCTCACCACAGCCTCACCCTGCGTCACAGCCTCACCACAGCCTCACCCCGCGTCACAGCCTCACCCCGCGTCACAGCCTCACCACGCGTCAGTGGGGCCAAATTTAATTGCCACGTTGGCCACCCAGGTGACTCTTGCACACGAGGCTCGTTGCTGTCTCCCAGGTTCTCACGCGGTCAAGCCAAACTGACGTACACAGCGCGTGCACGCACTGCTCAGCATCGATTCCCACAGGCACGACGCGCGCATCACGAGCGCGAGAATCGATTGCGAAAGCCGAATCTCCCCCCCCCCCCCTCCCCACACACAGCTGATGCTGCGACTGTAGCCCCGTGGCGAGTGGAGGCCGCCCGAGGTCCTCACCAGATTGAGCGTGGCGCTCTTGGCCTCCGTCCCGGCTTCGCGACGCCGCTTGCGCTCCAAGCGCTGCTGGTGGGCGAGGAACTTCTTACGCACGGCGATCAGCGACCGGGGGTCCAGACCGGTCTGCGCGTGAACACACACAAAGAACACGCACACGCGCACGCACGCACGCACGCATTAACACGCACGCGTGAACCCAGGACCCTCAGTGGTATCGGCTCAACGCTCAGACTTCCGAGCAACATGGCCACCTATTTTTTTTGTTTGTTTATGGCTAAGGTTAATGTCTCAAGCCGTCGGGGAAAAAAAAAAAATTGACGAACAAAGAAATAAGAGGAAATTAAACTGACGGGAGGACACAGCCCCACCTTGCTGATGAGCGCCTCCGTGTACATATCGGCGTTGGCGAAGTAGAGCGACGCGTTGGTCTGGAATATCCTGATCCCGGAAACCTCCTTCGCCTGGCACACGCGACAAGAGAGGCGATGCGTTCACGCGCGCGCCACAACGACACTCGCCGCGAACCGCGCGGCAAACAGCCCCGGGCATTCACCGCGCTACGTGGACACAAGCCGTCAAAACCATCCTTGCTTCCATGAGTGCGTGTCCTTACTTCCGCGTATTCTTTGAGGTCCAGGTAGATGTCGGTGTTGGGGATTTTGCCCAGAATCGAGTACTTGGGCCTTGGAACGGGCAGGGCGTGGTATCGGGGACATGGAGGGATGGCACACAAACATCGCCCTTCACAACGTGTCGAACGGGCCCCATCGTGCAAGTGGCAGCGATTGTCTATGACAAGTGGCAGCTCAGCCAAAGCGATGATTGGTGGTGGTGGTGATGATATTGTGAACTTATAACGTGCCACCACGCAGCAATTGCTCACTATCTGAGAGAGAGAGAAAGGACGACTCGCAGGCATCAGGACGAGGAACCACAGACGAGTGGGAAGGCAGCCACAAAGTCAGCCGGTGGCAACAATTGCCAAGCTCTGCGGTTCTCTTCATATCAAAGTGTCATTCGCCAATTAATGAGTGTTTACATGTGGGTGGAAACCGGAGTGCCCAGAGAAAACCCACACGTGCGAGGGGGAAACACTCTATCCTGTACAGACGAAACAACTGGAGCCTATGCTTTGCTGCGTTCTCCTTGCAGGGCCAGGGTACGGCACCTCCTCGACACTCACGGGAATAGGAGTTTCACAGCATCTGTGTGATCCATCAACCCTCACTCCCTCCACCAATGCGAGATCACAGGTGAGCGCCTGGTAGTGGCAGTGGTAGTTGATTATGGTGATGACGGTGGCGGCGGCGGTCGTGGTGTCCGTGGTGGCCATGAAGCACACACGACCGATGCCACCACGAGCCCCATCATCCCTGCGCTGTCGTCCCATGTCGCAGACCGACGCCGGTGCTGTGCGTGCGCCACCGTAGGCTCCCGGCGTGCCGTGCCGGCGTAGAGGAGCCGCTGGTGCTCACGTTTGGGTGCGGATGACGACGCTGAGCAGAGCAAAGGACACTGCAACGGCCAGGCCCAGGTCCAGCCCCAGCAGCACGGACGCCCAGAAGGTCACCATCCACATGGCCTGTGACACGCAAGGGACAACGGACCGCTCTGTAGCCACAGAGGCCGCCACCACAGGGGAAGCACCTCCAAAGGCTGGAGCGGCTCACAAAGAGGGTAGTGTAACCAGCGCCATGGCTGCCCAGACACCTTGGTCTCCCCAGCACCACACTTGACGGTCACCTTTTCGAAACTGGTTTTTATCTTTTCCCCACACCACCCCCCCCCCCCCCCCGGTGTCATCCCTGTTATGTTTTCAGGGTCATGGGCGTATAAAATCCATGACCTTTAAGTGAACTCTGGACCAGACACTCGGGGACTGCCATTTCCCAGCCCTGTCCTGCCGCAGAGAGGACCGTTCCTCGTATGACAGTTAAACTGCCGTGCTCAATTCTCAGAGCTGGAATTGAGCCAAATGGATTTGAGCCAAATTAAATGCGATTATTTTTTGTTTGTCCAGTCCTTGATGACTGTCAACTTGGTACGGGCAACCAAATGGACGCGAGCCCAGGATCTCCGCGGTGTCAGCTCTGACCTCTGACCCACATGGCCACCGCACTGGGTCATCATCTTTCCCCGAACCGCTTTGGGGAGGCTCAAACCCAGTTGGATTTTAATTGGCTATCGGTGGTGATGTTGTACATCGCTGCCAGGAACCAAACTCCGGTCGGATGATTCGCAGTGCTGACGTGGAGCTGTGCATCATCAACGCGCACACTGTCCCAGCCGGGCCACATGAATAGATGCACGTGGTCAAATATGTGCCACGTGAATAGATATGCGTCGTCAAAGTACACACCCATGATATATCCTGCTTGCACAAACACATACGCTTGTACCAAGACAAACATCACCGAATAGACACAGCCCAGGCAGGTGGTGTTAGAACAGGCACACGAGCGGTGCAATGAGGCCAATACCCACGTACGCTCGGGCACCTTTGTATCCCACCCGTCGACGTTTGACAATGCCACTTCACCGCGTTCCCATAGCTAGGGGGAGACCCACGAGGGGCTGACATCTCAGCGCCCCCCCCCCCCCGCCACCAGCAATGGGCATCACGAGGTGCATCTGCTTCGGTATTCCCCGATCGGCTCGTACGGTGGAAGTGAAACCAAATCACCCAATTGGGATCACACGGCAGCAATCACTGCCCCCTACTGGCAGATTCGTGCCCCAGGTCGCTCTTGGGAACGAGACGATCATGGTCTCCCGAGTCATCACCAGGTTAAACAAAATCAACTCGCATAATCTTGTAGTGTGTGTTCTGGAGGGGAGGGGATGGAGCCGCTCACCAGGTCTATGCGACAGGTTCTCCACAGCTGGGGCACGTCCGCGAACTGCTTGAACATCCCCTTGAGGTTGACGAGAACGACGGCCGCCAGCGCCGCCTGCCCCGAGCACACGCACGCACGATGACTCACGCACAATGACTCACGCACAATGACTCACGCACAATGACTCATGCACAATGACTCACGCACAATGACTCACGCACAATGACTCACGCACAATGACTCACGCACAATGACGCACGCACAACGACTCACGCACAACGACTCACGCACAACGACTCACGCACAATGACTCACGCACGATGACTCACGCACGCACGACGACTCACGCACGATGACTCACGCACAATGACTCACGCACGCACAATGACTCACGCACGCACAATGACTCACGCACGATGACTCACGCACGCACAATGACTCACGCACGCACAATGACTCACGCACGATGACTCACGCACGCACGATGACTCACGCACGCACGATGACTCACGCACGCACGATGACTCACGCACGCACAATGACTCACGCACGCACAATGACTCACGCACGCACAATGACTCACGCACAATGACTCACGCACAATGACTCACGCACGCACAATGACTCACGCACAATGACTCACGCACAATGACTCACGCACAATGACTCACGCACAATGACTCACGCACAATGACTCACGCACAATGACTCACGCACAATGACTCACGCACAATGACTCACGCACAATGACTCACGCACGCACAATGACTCACGCACGCACAATGACTCACGCACGCACAATGACTCACGCACGCACAATGACTCACGCACGCACAATGACTCACGCACAATGACTCACGCACAATGACTCACGCACAATGACTCACGCACAATGACTCACGCACAACGACTCACGCACGCACAATGACTCACGCACGCACAATGACTCACGCACAATGACTCACGCACAATGACTCACGCACAATGACTCACGCACAATGACTCACGCACAATGACTCACGCACAATGACTCACGCACAATGACTCACGCACAATGACTCACGCACGACGACTCACACACACACAATGACTCACGCACAATGACTCACGCACAATGACTCACGCACAATGACTCACGCACAATGACTCACGCACAATGACTCACGCACAATGACTCACGCACAATGACTCACGCACAATGACTCACGCACGACGACTCACGCACGCACAATGACTCACGCACAATGACTCACGCACAATGACTCACGCACAATGACTCACGCACGACGACTCACGCACGCACAATGACTCACGCACACACAACGACTCACACACACACACACACGACTCGTACAGCGCACGCGCTTACAGATCCCCCCCGGAGCCTTCACAAACCCTTGGGGTAAGCACCGGCACAGCACGTGGGGGGGGGGAGGGGGGACTGGGTGGCAAGCACCACGTCCGTACGGATTAAGTCAGCAGCCCACTTGCTGCGCTGCCTCATTTCACACAAACCTCACCGCCTCTGGATAGAGGGGCCGGGGGGAGCCACCTTACCCTGGGCAGAGGCCGGAAGAGGCTGCTGATGGCCAAAATTACGATGAGCACCAACAACGCCGACACCAGACCAGCCACCTGCAAAGACGGCGCGGAGTCAATCCGGGGGGACACGGGGAGGTGTGCACCGTGCCAGCAAGTCACTGGTGGAAATTAATTCTGTATAAGTTATAGAATTAGTATGCGTGCATACGTGTCATCAATGCATTTGCTATACGTGCGTGTATGCGCGTAAGTGGACTCGAGTTCCATTCACGCTCACGGCCAACGATAATGGATGTACCTGTGTTTGCCCTCCCGTCGCGTCCTGCACCAGGCTCCGCGACATGGCACAGCTGATGGTGAATGAGTGGAAGATCGACCCGAAAATGTTACTCAGGCCGATGGCGACCAGCTCCTGCAGGCGCACACAGGCAGATACAGACGTGCACGCACAGACAGATATAGATATGCACACACACACACACACACGGTGTGCACACGCACACATACACACAAAGACAAAGATCCCCCAGATAGCCTTAACAGACTGTAGGGGCAAGTGCTGTTAGCGAGCACCTATGAAGGCCGGAACGGTACACGAGGGGGTGGGTGGCCAGCACCACGCCCGACCGCCTTTGTCTCCCTAGTGGCAATGTTTACACACCGCACCAGGTACTCATTTGAGGCTGAGTCGACCTAGGGGAGGCCCGGGACCGGTTCAGATAATCGTCACTGGTATTGGCCGTGAGCGGGAATCGAACCCGGGTCACCAGGTTCATAGCGCAGCACGCTAACCGCTACACTATCGCTCCCCACACGCACACATACACACGCACACATACACACACAACAGACGCGCAAGTATTAGTCGACTACAACTTGGCACACAATTGGCACACGCCCTTGACCACAGGAGGGGGAGCTGGGCGGGGATTGAAGGCATCATCATGATCAGCGTCACGCGTCGCACTACAGCGGGAACTGGGTGGCGTGTCCTGGGAGGAGTGGCGAGTACACCGAGTGGTGTGTACCCTACACGGAGTGCTGGTTGGAGTGTTGTGTGGAGTGTTGTGTGGAGTGCGCCACTCACCTGGTTGCTGTCGATGTTGTATCCGTGCTTGAGGGCGAACGTCTTGCCCATGGAGATGGCGATGGAGAAGCCCACAATGGCCAAGGTGATGGCGTCCACCACCACCTTGCCAAACAGAGTGAACGATGGGACCACCGGGGGCTTCAGGCTGCGGCGCGCGAGTGGACACGCACGCACACAGACACACAGCACAACGTGCAGACACGTGTACACACACACAAACACGCACACAGAGACACGTACAACCACAACACGCAAACACAATCGCGCACAATCACAATAAGCAGACACGCACCAATACAGCAACGCGTGCAGACACACGGTCACAAATACAAAGATCCCCCATATAGCTTAAACAGACTGTTGGAGCAAGTTCTGTTAGCGAGCACCTATGCAGGCTGGCACAGCACACGAGGGGGTGGGTGGCCAGCACCACGCCAGGCTGTCTTTGTCTCCCTAGTGGTGACGTTTATACACCGCACCAGGTACTCATTTGAGGTTGAGTAGCCCTAGGGAAGGCCCAGGACCTGTTCAAAGAATCGTCACTGGCGTTGGTCACGTGCAGGAACAGAACTTTGTTCACTTGGTTGTGTAGTGCAGTCCGCGAACCGCTGCACCAACGCACCCAACACAACACAACTGCCGTCACCATGACACTTGTGCCAGGCCAGGTGCACCCCGAGGTCACGCGAAGTTATCCACGGCTCGCTGCTGGCAAGGTTACGGGACAGACCCAGATGTTACGGGTTGACTGAGATGACTGGCAGATGCATCACCACTGTGCGTACAGGCGCACACGAGTGCGTCCGTACGTGCCGGCGCGCACACACACACATACACACACACATACACACCCAGTGGGAATGTCTCCAATGATGTCCACCGCATGCTTCTCGTTGAGCTCCAGGCCGCTGGACGCGAGCGTGGCAAGTACAACCTAGGCCACGCGATCGCACAGGGACGCGAGTGAGGATGCGGCGAGTCTCCCGCTCGTGCCCCGTGCCAAGCCAGCCGTTTCCAAATCACCCGGAACGCACGCCATCTCACCCGAGCTCAGAGGCTAAGCGGGTTTGAGCCCGGACAGTGCCGAAAGGTGACGGCCTGCCCAACAGGCTGTCATCAGGCTGCGTCTTAGACAGCAGAGGGCGGTGCAGTCAAATCCACTGTCGTGCCATACTTCGACGCTTTCACATCTTTTCTGCCCGTCCTCAACCCTCACTGGTAAGCGTGGTGAAGTATGGTCAAATTTATTTGTTTTAAAAACGAGGCGAGAACTAATTTGCAAAAGCGACCCGGAGTAACCAACAGGGTCAAATAACCCCTACGACCCTCACGGCTTAGGTCAAAGCTGCGTACACGTGCGCGCCGTATAAACGACGCTTCAAACTCGCGGGAGGAGGGCGGCCGGGGTTGGGGGCCGTGTCGCGGTGCCGTCGGCGTGGCGACCGGCCCCGCGAGAGCCCCCCGACTCCCACCACCACGCCCGTACCAGGATGAGCTCCAGTGGGATGGGCGCGGGCAGGCGGTTCCTGTAGCGGTCGCCCAGCTCCTTGCTCCCAGCAAGGCCCACGGTGCAGATGACGCACAGCAGGAGCGACACCAGGTTGGTGTGGCCCAGATGGGAACAGAACTCTATTGTAGTCTGCTCACACAAAGACAAAGGTCCCCCAGATATAGACTTCTACAGATTGTTGGAGGCGGGTGCTGTTAGCGGGCACTTATTGAGGCCGGGCATGGCACACGTGGGGGAGGGTTGGCCAAAACCACAGCTGGCCACCTTTGTCTCCCCAATGCTGATGTTTAATACGCACTGTGCCAGGTACTCGTGTAAGGACCGAGTCAACCTAGGGGAGACCCAGGATTGGTTCACATATACACCGCTCTTATTGATCGTGAGAGGGACTTGAACAAGTTGCCGGTTTTGTAGCAAAGTGCAGACACCGTGGCCACCAAACAAACAAGCACCCCCATATGCACATATAAAGACAAAAATCCCCCGCATAGCCTTCAGACTGTTAAGATAAGTGCAGTTATCGAGCGGCACCTATTAAGGCCGGAACGGCACACGAAGGCGGTGGGTGGCCAGCACCACGCCCGGACGCCTTTGTCTCCCCAGTGGCGATGTTTACACACCGCACCAGTTACTAATTTGAGGCCAAGTAATCGTCACTGGTGTTGGCCGTGAGCGGGAATCGTACCCCGGCTCGCCGGGTTTGTAGGACAACGCGCTAACCGCTCGCGCCACCGCTCCCCACACCAGATACACACTCGCACGTCGCGCGCACGCCTGCTTACGTATACGATGGCCAGGGGCCCGCTGTAGCGCGAGACGCTGACGCCGAACATGTACTTTAACTGGGTGACGCACACGTGGATGGAGCAGGCCGTGGTGAAGCCACGCACCATGGGCTCGGAGAGGTACGTCGCCACCACTCCGAACCGCAGCATACCCAGGGACAGCTGCCGTCACAGGGTGCACGGGGGACGGACGCAGAGTGTGGGGGGGGGGTCATGTTATTGTGCGCTGCAGTGATGAAATGTGGGTAAGTAAGGTGAAAACATTCTTGTGACCACCAACATCTGACCACCGGTGGCCACCAACAGCTTTCCCTAGACAATAGACTGACAGCCCAGTCTCTGACCAGGTCTTTATACAATAGACTGACCAGCAGAGCGGTGTGTGCCGTGGTCGTCTGCCGTGGTCGCGAAAAGTGACAGTGCCGGGACACACCTGGTAGATTCCGCAGAGGAAGGTGACGGCGATAGCGACGGAGACGCGTGCCTGGTCGCGCGCTGCCACGTCGATGCCCTCCAGGGACAATCGCATGCTGCTCAGGGTCTGGTTGGTGCCCGTCAAGTTTGCCGGCGGCAGGAGGAAGTCCTCGTCCGGCACAATGCGCTCCGTCACGTCGCCCACCATGACGCTCAGCACCGCGAACGTGCCTGACAAAGGTCACCACCCCCCCCCCCCCCCCAGAGTCTCAACAGGCTGTTGGTTCAAGTGCTGTTAGGCGAGCACCTGGGAAGGGCGGCACGGCAGACGTGGCGGTGTGCGGGAACCCCGTTCATATAATTGTCATTGGTGTTGGCCGTGAGCAGGATTCGAACTCGGGTCGCCGGGTTCGCAGCGCAGCGCACCAAGCGCATAACACGCCCGCGCACGCCCGCGCACGGACACACGCGCGAGTAACAACTCTATCTGCAGTGACGCGGTCCTGCGGTAGCGCGTTCGCCGCTCGTTGCAGAGGTTCGCGGTTCAAACCCAGCGGCCGCCCTGGTTAATAACACGGGCGTATTAACCATGATAACGCTACGCGCTGTCTGCTTCACTCAGTGGACATTATATATTGCCCGACGTCATTCGCAAGAGTAGGCCATCGTGTGCCGGCATCGGGCTCCAAATTTTCCACGTTCGATAAATGACTCAATTGGGACCAAGGCCCCCTAGAGGCAGCAGAGTAATGCTCCAGGTGACTGTTGCAGCCTGATCTATTGCGTTCTCACCTAGATATACAGATTAAACTTGAAATGTGAATTGTCGGCCTCGTTTCCGCACTCACCAATGGAGATGTGATGAGATGTCCCGAGGAAGAAATAGACTAGCATTGGGTAGAAGGAGGCATAGAGGCCATAGATGGGAGGTACTCCGGCCAGCAGAGCGTATGCCATTCCTGGAATGACAAAGATCACCCGCGTAGCCATGACAAATTGTTGGGACAAGTGCTGTTAGCAAGCATCGATGAAGCAGAGCAACGCCAACATCAATACGATACAATGTACATTCATGTAGCAGCATCTAAATGCAACCGCATCTCCAGATGCCGCATGGGGTGGGGGGGGGGGGAACTAAAACGCGAATCCAAATGGGGTCATAAGTGTGGACTTGAACAAGGGCAGCAGCAGCAGTGTCAACCGCACGGAGGAGTTCAAGAAGAAGAGAATTCCAGACCCCAGGAGCAGAAGCCGAATCAAGAGCGACCTTCCACGGAACTATCAACAACTGACCGTCAACAACTGACGTTCATCTTAATATTCCTCGGGGTGTGCCGGTGGTCCTCCAGAGTTGGCCAGATACAGTGCAGATTAGCGACTGACATTATTTTTTTTTCAACGAACAGAACCCAACAAAGATCTCAATGAATATCGAAAACGAAGACGCATCACTGAGAGGGCAGCCAATCAACGAAAGGCAGAGGAGGAGAGGCTTGGAGGGGGCCCACGAGTGAGAGAGCGAGCATAGCGACGCACCCTGCGGTAACTGGATGACACCGGTGCTGATGCCGGCAAAGACGTCTCCGAGAAACCACTCGCGCAGACGGTAGCGCGGCAGCCATGACAGTACGGGGAACGCGAGCTTCATCCGGGCGCTCAGGTCCGCGCGAGAGCAGCTGCAAACACACGCGCGCACGCGCACACACACGGCTATGGTTAGCTACGTACAATACGAAAGAAGTTCAACATACAGTGAGGGGAAAAAAGTATTTGATCCCCTGCTGATTTTGTACGTTTGCCCACTGACAAAGAAATGATCAGTCTATAATTTTAATGGTAGGTTTATTTGAACAGTGATAGACAGAATAACAACAACAAAATCTAGAAAAACGCATGTCGAAAATGTTATAAATTGATTTGCATTGTAATGAGGGAAATACGTATTTGACCCCCTCTCAATCAGAAAGATTTCTGGCTCCCAGGTGTCTTTTATACAGGTAACGAGCTGAGATTAGGAGCACACTCTTAAAGGGAGTGCTCCTAATCTCAGCTTGTTACCTGTATAAAAGACACCTGTCCACAGAAGTAATCAATCAATAAGATTCCAAACTCTCCACCATGGCCAAGACCAAAGAGCTCTCTAAGGATGTCAGGGACAAGATTGTAGACCTACACAAGGCTGGAATGGGCTACAAGACCATTGCCAAGCAGCTTGGTGAGAAAGTGACAAGAGTTGGTGCAATTATTCGCAAATGGAAGAAACACAAAAGAACTGTCAATCTCGACACACTTCTACGGGGAAGTTACCGTTGCATTTCTGTCCTAAATGTGCACCCCAAACCTGTTCCCACCCCTCCCCGTTTCTGTGTATATGCAAGATGTGCTGTTTTTGAGCTGCCGCAAGATGAGCTGCCACTCTCTTTCTGGCCCCTCCCCCCCCCCAACCTTATTTCCTATTTAAGCTGCTGTTCATCCCTCTCTCTCTCCTTGCCTCTCTGTCCGTCTTTCCTACTGACCATGTACCTCGTATTTTCACTCTGTCTATGCTGGTTTTTTGCAATCCAGAAGTTGAACACGAAATTTAACACTCTTCTGAAATTCGTGGTCCGCCAGGAAGTGTCTAACTGTGTTGTTGGCCTGATTGGTTGTGCTTCACATAATGTTTTTTAGGTTTGTTAAATTCTCGTCTCTCATCTTTTTTGTTGTATTTACCTCCATGATTTGTTCTTTCCATGATTTGTTATTGACACCTGATGAAGATCGCTTGTGTTGTGATCGAAACGTCGTGATTGTTTTGTTTTAATCTAATTTTATTGTATTTCTACATACGTGACTTTACCGAAAAAAACAATGAGTAACTGTCAATCTCCCTCGGCCTGGGGCTCCATGCAAGATCTCACCTCGTGGAGTTGCAATGATCATGAGAACGGTGAGGAATCAGCCCAGAACCACACGGGAGGATCTTGTCAATGATCAAGGCAGCTGGGACCATAGTCACCAAGAAAACAATTGGTAACACACTACGCCATGAAGGACTGAAATCCTGCAGCGCCCGCAAGGTCCCCCTGCTCAAGAAAGCACATATACATGCCCGTCTGAAGTTTGCCAATGAATATCTGAATGATTCAGAGGACAACTGGGTGAAAGTGTTGTGGTCAGATGAGACCAAAATGGAGCTCTTTGGCATCAACTCAACTCGCCGTGTCTGGAGGAGGAGGAATGCTGCCTATGACCCCAAGAACACCATCCCCACCGTCAAACATGGAGGTGGAAACATTATGCTTTGGGGGTGTTTTTCTACTAAGGGGACAGGACAACTTCACCGCATCAATGGGAGGATGGACGGGGCCATGTGCCGTCAAATCTTGGGTGAGAACCTCCTTCCCTCAGCCAGGGCATTGAAAATGGGTCGTGGATGGGTATTCCAGCATGACAATGACCCAAAACACACGGCCAAGGCAACAAAGGAGTGGCTCAAGAAGAAGCACATTAAGGTCCTGGAGTGGCCTAACCAGTCTCCAGACCTTAATCCCATTGAAAATCTGTGGAGGGAGCTGAAGGTTCGAGTTGCCAAACGCAGCCTCGAAACCTTAATGACTTGGAGCAGATCTGCAAAGAGGAGTGGGACAAAATCCCTCCTGAGATGTGTGCAAACCTGGTGGCCAACTACAAGAAACGTCTGACCTCTGTGATTGCCAAAAAGGGTTTTGCCACCAAGTACTAAGTCATGTTTTGCAGAGGGGTCAAATACCTATTTCCCTCATTAAAATGCAAATCAATTTATAACATTTTTGACATGCGTTTTTCTGGATTTTGTTGTTGTTATTCTGTCTCTCACTGTTCAAATAAACCTACCATTAAAATTATAGACTGATCATTTCTTGTTCAGTGGGCAAACATACAAAATCAGCAGGGGATCAAATACTTTTTTCCCCTCACTGTACGTACAATATGAAAGACGTTCAACATACATAGACACACAGACGCGCGCACACACACACACATACAAACGCATGGAAGCACACAAACGCACAGACACGTGCGGACACATAAAGCCACGTGTACAGGCACACACAAGTACAAACTTGTTACATTTGCAGATGGCAAAAGTGACTCAAAAGGCCTATTGAGGTCAAGAGGTGTGGAGATGGCACTGGGCCACGTCTTGCCATCGCTCATACCCTTCTGCCAGATTTCACAACCGTTGTCGAGTCAACGACTTACCTTCACAGCCTGCTCGTACAGCACCCCATTCTTGTAAAACCGTTTACGGCCGCAGGCTTCTTACCCTCGTCAATAAATAAAAACAAAGAGCCGTTTTCAGGTCTGGGTAACCTGCCCACCTTTATTATGCGCATGTGTCGGGCAGCGTGAAGTTTAAACAAAAACTTAGGAATTCTTGAGATTCTTTCACCGCTAATCCTGCCCGAAGGCGATACAAATCTGAGCACCGGTCGGGGAGAACTGTGCCGTACAAATGGTGCCGACTGATGCACGCGTTTCGCGAACACATGTGCGGTGCCCTCCAAAACACAAGAGACCGAGCCGGGCAAAGGTCACATTTCCTGGTATGGTAACAAGTATCTCAGTGGTTCCGAGTACAACAACATTTTACATTAACAAAGCGCAGAATGAAATTGCAGGGAGGAGCGGTGGTGCGGCACCTGGCGCACTACGCAATTAACCAAGTGAGCCAAGGTCAACTCCTGGTGACGGCTAACATCAGCGGGGGGGGGGGGGGATATCGGAAATGGCCCCAGGTCCTGCGTACCCTCACCAATTCGCACTGCCCACGGTCAAACAATCCCCGTGACTGACACAGCGTGAGGAGGCCTTCATCCAGCGGTGGATTGGCAAGGGGCAGCAGCGACTGCTGTCTCACTGATGCAACCGCGTCTCGAGACGCCGTGCCGTGGTGGAGGTCGCACGAGGTCGCAGCGACAACCGGGATGACTCGTGCAACGAGTAAGGGACAATGTTAATTAACTCCTCTTTGTGGAGATTTACTCGGCCCTCTAAAACTCACGGTCACAACCCACATCCTGCTTCCCGAAGGAGGGAAACCCCCTACAAGCCCAAGCCACGCCTGTCAATGCCGTTACCGTCACCAAGCCTCCATCGTCACCTCCCGTCAGTCGATCTTAAAGATCCCGTGACATGATTCGTAAGGGTGGGCCATAATGCGCTGGCGTCCTGATCCAAATGTCAAATTCTTAAATTACCCGCAAATTTCTCAAATGGGACTATACACAGCAATCAATCATCGCCCCATAGCGGCAGACTAATTCCCTGGTCACTTGAGTTCACCTGGCTAAACAAAATTAAGCGAACTAGAAACTAGCGGCACACTTGGGAACACAGGAGAGACCATTCCCCCACCCCCACCCCCCCCCCGACTAATTTTGTGTCTTCCGACGAGTCGAGCAATGGGGCCGACAATCAACGGCGCGACAGATTACGCGATGCAGAGCACGCTGGAGATGCCGCGACTCACTGCACGCAGGAGAACAGGCGCTCCCGCAGCGTGGGCGGCGGGTGCTCCGCCCGCATCGCCAGCCCCTCCAGGTCCGCTTGGCTCATCGGGTGGCGCGCCGAGCCCCCCAGGGACGTCCCGCCCTCCAGTGACCCCCCTCCTAGCTCTCGCTGCCGCGGCAGCGACCCGTCGCTCAGAGCCATCGCGGATCCGCGAACCGGCGTCGTGGTTGAATCGGTTCAGTAGCACGTCCTACTTGGCCAACGCTACACACAACACGCGCAACAACAAAGGAGGGAGAGAATGTATAACTTAGTACATTTGGTATTCGCGCCATTGTTCAAGCGCACGGCCATTACGCAGGAAGGCGTTTGGTTGTTTTCGCGAGAGACGCAGTTGCAGTCGTTACACAGCCAGGGGTGATGCTGCTTTGTGTTATCGCAATTCAGTAATGCGCTGTGTCATTTTGCAAATTCGACAAATTTAGACCAAGATGCCGGTACACAATGGCCTTCTCTTCTCAAATTACGTCACGGGATCTTCCACGTCAGCTGTGACGCAGACGGCGCGTAGTATCTTAACGTTATTACACCCGCAGTGTTAACCAGGGCGGCCTGCCGGATTGGAACCGTGGAACTCTGCAGCAAGCGGCGAACGCGCGGCCGTTGGGGCTCACAACCTCAGCACCGCTCCCGCACGTCGTCGCCACCACCACCACAACCTCAGCACCGCTCCCGCACGCCACCACCACCACAACCTCAGCACCGCTCCCGCACGTCGCCACCACCACAGCACCACTCCTGCACGTCGCCACCACCACAACCTCAGCACCGCTCCCGCACGTCGCCACCACCACCACCACCACCACATCAGCACCGCTCCCGCACGTCACAACCACCACCACAACATCAGCACCGGCTCCCGCACGTCGCCACCACCACCACCACCACAACCTCAGCACCGCTCCCTCACGTCGCCACCACCAGCACCACAACCTCAGCACCGCTCCCGCACGTCGTCGCCACCACCACAAACTCAGCACCACTCCCGCACGTCGCCACCACCACCACAACATGAGCACCACTCCTGCACGTCACCACCACCACAACATCAGCACCGCTCCCGCACGTCGCCACCACATCAGCACCGCACGTCGCCACCACAACATCAGCACCGCTCCCGCACGTCGCCACCACCACCGCCACAACCTCAGCACCGGCTCCCGCACGTCACCACCACAACCTCAGCACCGCTCCCACACGCCGCCACCACCACCACGGAGTCGTGTGTGGCTAGACAAGGGCTGACTATGATTGTAGTGATGATGAGGATGATCATCATCATTTCTTTAAATACTCATTAAATAAACAAAAACACAATTAGGTACGTCGACAAAGAGGCCTGCAGCAATGTTTAGCCGCAGGGCGCGTTTGGATTTGCGCGCGTCCGGTCACCGGCCCGCGGGTGATCAATGTCATTCTGCAGAGGTGGTGGATGTGACGAAAGAGCCCTTCACAAATGCCATCGCAGCAGCAGCAGCAGCAACACCACGTGCCTTCTGGGTGAGCTTTTCATCGCCGTGTCTTTAGCTGATACACTTAACCGGCGTATAATTAAACTGGGTTCTGAAGTGTGTATATATAAGTATACACACACACACCATGGTCACCAATGAATGCACAAAAAACAAGCACATTCGTTTGGGTTTTTCATTTAAATCTCTGCAGATTTCCGCGGTGAAAATAATGATTTCCACGAAGCAAATCAGGTACAACCATAAAGCCCGCACCGGCTAGCGTGGGTAAGATGGGCTATTGAAGAGACGACAGAAATAGGGTAGGATTAGTGAACAGTGTCATCTGCTGGGGCCGTTTCCGGGCCACGTGCGGTGTCACGTGCGGTGTCACGTCACAACATCACAACCGGCAAACAAGTGGGATACACAAAGCAACGTCTACTCCCGACAGCTCTGCGAGTGGAAGATGGCAACACCTTGACTGCGGCGTTGACGTTGGCCATTTGGAGAATCGCAATCCCACTCACACCATTTTGTGTTCAAGAACTCGTTCGTATCATTGAAACATTTCGTCAAGTTATTCAAAGGGATTGTTCAATCGTTTCCCAGAAGGGAGGGGGGAAAAAAATTTAAGAACAGAATCCGCTGACACACGCAAGCCAGACACGCCGCCTGCAAATGTTTATATGCGCATTTCCAGTGCAGCCGGGCACAAGGCAAGGCACTGCTCGTGACGTCCAGCGGTCTGGAATGCAGCGCATCAGTCGCGATCAGTTGAGTTACACAAGCCGCGTTTCGTAATATGTTGTTAATAGTAACGCAACGGTGTTACGTAATTATTCAGTGGCGGTGCAGACAGCACTCTGTGTGCTTCGATTCTAGGATTTCGCGTTTCAAGCCGAACTTTGTTCGTGTGCTGCCAGCGGACCAAAATCAGAATCTTTATTCATCCTGGAGAAATCCCATGGCTGGTGAAACGGGTGCCGCACGCGCTGGCAGCGTTCGTGCCCCTATTGCAGCGGACTGCCCGACCACAAATGCTTCCCCCAGAAGCGTGCCACCAACCTGCGGCTATAATCTTGAAGCTGCTGAGAAATCTACTCGCGGGCACCACCCCCTACTACTAGGCTGAACGGGGCCATCTGCTGAATGCAGAACAACATCTGAGCCGAGCGCGGTCCTCGTGAGGACAGCACACACGGGGTACGATGGGCGGCAATGTTCACATACCGTATATGTAAGCATACATCGATGTAGAACGTGGCAATTGGGCTACACTACAATTTTGGCACACGATGATCGACTGCACCGAGGCAGTTCCTCAAATTCTGTTCTATTCTTGGATATGGCAGCAATACGTTCATGAGCCAGATGAAATGTCAAGTTCAGCTGGTCACGATAAGAGGGCTTCAAGAGAGAGAGGGTGTAGTTTTGTTGCTCCTCCGTTAAAGGGGAGCAGACTACAGTGGGTTTACTGTGGTCCGTGGTTTGGGTTGCATGGCGACAATCGTCTCACTATTATGATGGAGATGATGCACGCATCGATCTGTTGATGTTCCCATGCGGATGCTGGTCACACCAGTGTCTTCGAGGAGGAAGAATATCAAAGTCAGCAGGTGTGATGTTTGGGTCTCAAATGAGGAGTCTATTCTGGACGTCCGGGTTGTTCAAATGCGTCCTCCAAGCGTTCTTCCACAAATGAGACGAATGGGACAACCATCGCTGCCTCCACACTCCCGGACCACAGCCCAGCACCACCACCGCCCGACAAATCTGTACGCGTCACCGCAAGGTGCAGACGGCACCCGGGAGTACAGTCGTGCGCCGTGGTGCCGAACGCTGCCCGTGACAAGACATCACGAGCGGCTGCAGATACGGGGAGCCAAGATCACTCAAGGACCCTCACTGCCACTCTCAGGAGCTCTCTCTCTCTCGAGAGAGAGAGAGAGCGCCGTGGTGGAATGTGGCCTCGAATCAAAGTGCAAGGCAAACTCACAGCAAAGCCCTCGTGCACACACGACTTAGCAATCCTCAACTGGGACCCACAGCAGAGAGGGATCTTGCTTACCAAAGTCTGGCAGTTCGCCAGGCTGCTAGTGAGACTGCATGCCAGTCAAAACTCAAACCAGAGTTTGCTTTTATTAAGCCAATGTTGTTGAACATATGCAGGCCATTTGGCTGATGGGATGTGCAAAACATTTTTTTTCTACATTTAATGCGGAGGGGAAATATTTGTTCAGGATGCATATTGTCTGTTTATGTATTTTGCTACTTATATTCTCAAAGACGCAAACGATTATGCGACAGATCATCAACCCACTGCCAGATGCAGGCCTCCCCGCACCCTTTCGGTCATAGGGGTTGAATGACCATACTTCACCATGCTAGTGAGTGCGGGTCGTCGGTAAATGGACTTTGCCAGGAACCGTTTAAATATCACTCATTGGTGATATTAGCTGTAGTCTAGAATTGAACTTGGGTCGCTGGGTTCATAGGGCAGCGCGCTAATCACTGCGCCACCGCTCCACCCACATCTTATTTAATTTCCATGTTGATTTTGGTTGTTAGAAGGTATATACGGTGTGTATATATATATAGAACACACACAGACAGCTAGAGTTTACACAAACAACTAACAGTCAGTGTAGGGACAGCCTGCTATTAAAAGCAGCAGATTACATCTGCCGGCTGTGTGGCTGGGCGCTCCTTTTGGTAGCAAAATTAAACAACAGGAAATGTGTATTTGGGTTGTGGCTTCCTATATAGCCGTTCCCTGCAGTCACAAGACGGCTCACGGTGGTAACCCAAAGTCTGCGACTACATTTGCCAATGGGCTACAAAGTTAATATCTCTGTTGTCACTCCCACAGACAGCTTGAGGAAGTCAACAGATGACTACACACACACAGCAGAAGACCAAACATTCAAGTGACCATTATACACGATACCCACCAAGTGACCATTCGCCACCATACCCACACCAGTTGACTATTCTCCACTATAACCACATTAGGCAGTGTGGCCAACAGAAGCAATAAACCAAACCCTCCAATAGTTTGTTCCATCACCACATTTTTTATTTCTCACCCTGAAGCTCTTCTTCCAGTGGGAAACTCCCCAGTGGTGTCCATTGATTTTCTCAGACACTGCACCGGTTTGGACTTCGCCCTGCCACCAGCGAGGTGTGGCATCACAAACCAATGGCTCCGGGTGGCCAAACGTAACGAGCGAGTGCAAGAAAAAGCCACAGACGTCGCAAAATAGAGAAAAGGTAAGCACGTCACTAAAAAATAATTTAATTAAATATACAGTACATATAGAAATTGCATGAGTATATACATTCATGCCGAATTTTCAACACAAATAAAAGCTTCGGCAAGGCAGCAAAACAACAATAACAACAACAAAAACCAGTCACATAGCACACAAGACAAGACACAGTCCCGTTAGTAACATGGCACAATGACAATGAAATGATTTTATACCTAAGTGACTTTACCGAAAGAACCAAAGAGTATGGATTCCTGCAGTCACGAAAGCTTCAAATCAAGATTCAAATCAAGAGATTGGCCACAACAATAAGCAGCTGAAGCACCATGAACAACACGTAAACGTTCATGGATGGGCTCTTGCTTATGACACCGAGCAACACAACAAACGCCACTGGAAAAATATGAATCCAGTCGAGGAAAACCCACTGAGTCGGTGTTGATTCTCTGTTATGGGCCGTGGCAGACCCTTAGCTCGTTAG